TGACGGCTGAAAACACATTCACACAAACGCGTCACAGGAACGTTCACGGCGGCACTGTTCACCATAGCCAGAAAGTGGAAACCACCCGAATGTCCACCAACTGATAAACGGGTAACAGAAGGCGGCACGCCCCTGCCAGGGAATGTTCTTTGGCGATATTAAGGAATGAAGTTCTGATACGTGATACGACATGGGTGAACCTGGAAAATGTCTGCTGAGTGAGAGAAGCCAGATGCTCAAGTTGCATACTGTATGACCATGCCATTTATGTGAACTATTCAGAATAGGCAAATCCATAGAGATAGAAAGATTAGCTGTTACCAGAGGCTGGGGGGAGGGAGACGCAGGGAGGACAGCTAATGGGGACAGGGTTTCTTTTCGGGGTGATGAATATGTTCTGGAATTAGATAGTGGTGATGGTTGCACAACCACGTGAAAATACTAAAACCCACTGAGCTGGGTACTTTAAAAGGGTGAATGGGATGTGAATTGTGTCTAAAAAAAAATGAGTCAAGTCAAACCCCAAACTGACACCCTAACTCTCAATCCAGTGGCACTTGTAGAACAATCTGCTTTTGTTCTTTCATGGCCTGAGGGGGGCCCCTCGCTGACCCTCCACAACCTCATACCTGGTTCAGACTCGCAGGAGAGCTGAAGGGCTTGAGGAGGCAACCTACGTGTCTTTACATCTTCTGGCACCTGCCGGCCCTGCTGTACCTCACGTGCCCGCCCCTCTGAACTGCAGGCTCCTCCTCTCCAGCCTGGTTGTGCAGGTGACAGAGGCGCTACTCCTCCAGGCAGCGCGCTCTGGCAGCCAAATGCAGCAACTGAAAAAAGTACCAGGAGCTGGGGCCGGCTGAGGGCCACACTGACCTGCACCAGATTTCTGGTGGGCACTCATCTCCCTGTCAGAAAAGATGCTTAGGAAGAAGTAGCAGTATCTGAGAGGCCTGGCCTCTGCGAGATGTCCCCACTGAGTGACCCCAGGGCCAGGCTGCAAGAGTGGGAGGAGGCCAGAGAAGGAAGCTGTCCTTGCTCCCAGCTAGCCAGAATTCATGCCCTTGTCAGTCTCGCCTTACACACGGTCACCTGCTCAAGGTAACAGGATTCCGCTTCAAACCCAGCTCCGGTCTCCGAACTGGAGCACCAGTTACGTTCACCCTCCCCCAGCATCTACTGAGCACTGGCTGTGGGCAGGGGTCTGTGCTGATTGGAGGAGATGCCAGGCTGACCAGGACAAGACTCTGAGGAAATGACAGACTGGCAGGAAAGACAGGTGTTAAACACTGCCAATACAGTGCATGTGCAATGGCAGCCAGCAGCTCGGCCTGAGGGGAGAGGGCGCTGGGGGAGGACCACGCGCTTTGGAAGTACCTGAGCCTCAGTTTCCTCATTTGCACCAGGCTGTCATGAAGGTTATAGCTGACACTTTATGTACCACTTATGTTACAAGACTTTTGGAACCACGGCTGAATGCAGTCAGTGAGTGGCCCTGGCTTAGGGACTGGGCAGGGACAGCAGTGCACACATGGCGGGCTTGGGACCTGCGTCCTGCATCTCTGTACCACTCCTCCCACCCCACTGGAGAGCTCGGCCAGCAAGGCTGCATACTTTACCTTCTGAATTCTTATTTTAGGAAGTTTAACATCAAATGGCAAATGAATGCAAATTATACTTCATTTGCACAATTAAAGCTGGAAATGTTGTCTACCGGTTCCTGTAGTAATCCCAACCACTCTTCTCGTGCTTACATATCAAAAGACTTGTCTTTGGTGCCCAGGGGCTGGCAAAAAGCCTACGGATAAACAGCCCAGCCTGGGGCAACGCCACACGTACTCACGTACAAGCGCGCGTGGCACCCTTCTGGTCACTTAAAGTGAGAGTCGGAGAACAGCATCGCCAGGGGCTGCCAAAATGGAGGGCAAGGAATGGCCTGAAGATGGGAATGAGGAGCTTGTGGAATGCCACTCTAAGGCTCCTAAGTGGCTCTCTGACATCCAGACTCCTGTGTCCATCAAGTCCGGCCGCGTGGCCCTTTCCCAGCTGACCAGCAAACCCCATCCAGCCCGGGCCTGAACTTGAGGCTTCAGAGCAACACTCCTGATGAAGGCCTAAGCCAGGACTCTGCCTCCGCCTGGGGCGCAAGAAGCCCCCTCGGGAGGGAAGGCCCCGGAAGGCCATGTCAACAGGGCCCTGAGACAGGGTGACAGAGAGGTCGCCCTCCAGCTGGCACCTGTTTTGAGTCTCTGTGCCAGGCCAAGGTTTTGGTGCTCCAGCCCCTGGAGAACTCATAACCCTTGGCTTATGGATAGGAAGTTCTGGGACAAGGACGCGGTAACCTTAGAAGCCTTGCTTGCAGGGCACCTGCTCAAGGCCTGGATGAAAGGCTCTGAGCTACAGACGTGCCGCTGGGCCTCTAGAAACGGAGCTAGTCCTCCTTCCAACGAGCAGGCTGGCCTGTAATCCTGGCTCCGAGAATGGGAAAGGCTCAAAGCAGGAGGAAGCCACGCCAATTAGTATGCACTACACAGCTTTTTGCAAAATGAATATAAAACACTTGTGCTTTCTTTTTGTGTGAGAGAAAGAAGGGGGGAAAGAGGGAGGGAGGAAGGTTATAAGAAAGCAATATTCTGCAGGAGCAGGAGTGCCTGCCGTTACCATGGCAACGGGCTGGGGGTGGGGAAGGCACATCAGCTGGTCCCTCATCCTGGAGTGGAGGGAGCTGGCCATCTCAAGTGAAAGGGTCTGTGGCAACTGGGTGTGGAAAACATCTTACAAAGTAACTCTGAGGGGAAGGCCACAGGGGCGATGGGGAGGGGGCTTCATAACCTCTACAGCTTGGGGAGCAAAAATAAGGAAGCCAGGGGATTCCTGAGAAAGCCCTTCCTTCTAGAAAGTGACCTGACACCAGCAAAGGGCATCTTTCAGTGTCAAAGGGGGGGTCATCTCAAAGGTGCCACTGCAGGCCGTCACCCACTGCACTCCAGCAAGCCAGGGACAGTCTCTCTGGGATGGCGGCTGTTGCCCTGTCTTCTTTTAATGGTCCACCCAGGAACTCCCTGTCCCAACACCTGGTCCACAGAGCAGCCCTGGAAAATCCCTCATGGCAGGAGCTCTCTTTCCTCTGTCCTCGAGGTGCTAGTGGCCGCT